TCTAATTAGATCTGTTCATAGTATTTAGGCAAGGGAAAGTTTACTGAACAGGAGGCTGATGGAAGTTCATTTCAAAGTTTAGCTTTAATTAGCAAAACAAACTTTTACATGTAGGCTTCCTAGAGATGAAGATGTGAAAGAATCTAAATCAGGCTGACAGGACTTCCAAAATATAGGCTTTTAAATAAAAACCATTTAATATTGTTCATCTAGAGAGCATCCAGCAATGTTCATTATAAACTAGATAAGTAATTGAAAGTATGTGCTAAGATTGCTGAAACGATGCAAGGGTGTGAAATTACAACGTGTTTCTGTTGGTTGGCTGGGTCTTCATGTTAGCATAATGCCTTGCATATAGTCAGAATTCTATAAATGTTGGATATGATTGTCTCTAATAACATTTTCTGGTTTAGAAGATGTAAGTATTAACTATGCACGTTATTTTTACTTGCTGCATTTATTTCACTTCTGCACTGATAGCACGAGTATCTGTCCTCCACATCAGAGAGGGGAGAGGTGATGAGGCCATGCATTCTGCATGACACCTAGAAGATCCCATGCGTAGTTTCAATGTTTCAAGCAAGCTGTCCTCTTCAGGAGCAATAATTTCTGGTTAGCTAAAGTCTTAGTTCAACTAAGGTCACATAGATTATCTTCCTGTTGATTAAAAACATGTGGACAAGCATTTTCTAAAGAGCATTATTATCATCCTCCAAATGGTTATGTGAGGCCAGTGTGCCTCAGATGCTTAGTATCCTTCACACTACATTTGGGACACCCCTGAGTTATTTCACTGCAATTGAAGGCACGTAACATTAAATTCTCAACTGCAAAAGAATTACAATATGAAAGAATGTAATTTTTTATTGATTTATTTGTTTGTTTTTCTGAATTCCTGATAGAGTTCATGTCTTGACCAAATTTCATTTTATTTCAAAAGTAAAAATATAAAAAAAATCTAGCAGGTTCTGGTTAGTTGGATTATGAGAAAATTTACTTCTGTGAGACCAGTTTATTATTATTATTATTATTATTATTATTATTATTATTATTATACATTGCTGTACACTCAGCACCTAGAACAGCACCCGGCAGATTAAGCTGTTCTCAACAAATAAATACAATGTTCACTAATATTCTTTTTCCTCCCATTATTCTTGAGGATAACACTGCTCATACAAGAGGAAATGAGGGGAAAGGGAAAAATAATACAAGGGGGAGAAATGAAGGTCAGTAGAGGGGGTAGAGAGAGAAGAGGGGAGGGGAGGGGAGGGGGGATAGTAGAGGATAGGAAAGGTAGCAGAACACGACAGTCACTAGTATGGCAATATGTAAATCAATGGATGTGTAATTGATGTGATTCTGCAATCTGTATATGGGCTAAAAATGGGAGTTCATAACCCACTTGAAGCAAAGTGTGAAAGATGATATATCAAGAACTATGTAATGTTTTGAACAACCAACAATAAAAAAAAAATAAAAAAAATAAAAAAGAAAAAACAAACGATTTAATGTAATTGTTTTTCAAGGGGGGAAATCAAATTTTTATTTTCTTTATTTGCTCTATTTCTTTCATTCCAATTTATAGAAAAGATCTGTACTTTACATGTGAGTCTTAACTCTGAGGAAATTTCAGAACAGAATGGGTTTCCTTACTTAAGAACCTCAGCTTGGAACCCAAGCCACAATTGCCTCCTCCAGATTCCAGCTGTTTGGGTCTTTTCAACTCTGGGAAAACTTAACTTCAGAGAGGCTAAGAGTTCCACAAAGGGGAACTCAGGTCAAGGACATTGGTTTCCTTTTGTTACATGCTCTTGCTGTAGATTGACAGCATGCAGAATGTGAAAGAGAGACCAACCAATCAAAAAGAGCTTGGGATTCTGGATGCATAATTTTCAGGCTTGCAGCTATTTGTTAATTTATTTTTCAGAAGGTGGCTATGGCATATATGCTTCTACTAGCTTCTATACTAGCTGCAAAGTATAGAAGTTTGGTGCTCTCATTTGGAACTATACCTCACAAAAAGACCATTATTCTTATAAAAATACTATTTGTAAACCTAACATAGGATTTAAAATATGACTTTCTTTAATGCTTAAGAGTGGGCCTTATTCTTTGGCAGGCAACATCAGCTTTTTCAGGACTGTAGAGTGTTTTTTATTTTACTTAACCAAGCTTCTACTGGGGAAATTATTGCTTTAGTTCATGGTGCTACATGGTATTTCTGGAAGCCTGAGCAAGTTAGTGCATTTTCCTTATGTTTCACAATACTCTGTTCCTGAGAAACTTGAACATTGGAAGCATGCACTTCCTTGGTAAAAAACCCTCAACATTCACTGGTTTAGAAGAGATGCAAAGTGACATCTCCTTATTTTTCAATTACTTGATACTAGGGAAGCTAAAGAGAACTTGTAGGGAAGCTACAAAAGAACTTAGTGGTTGTTCACCTTACCAAGGCTGGAATATGTGCTAGTGCTCAGAGCATATGAGGGTGTCATTCTGTTTAAATTTCACTTGGAAAATTAAAATGATGAGTTGACTAACTTTCATTTGACATGTGAAGCTGAAACCATTTGCCTGTAGTTATTCTGAGAAAATCATATTTGGAAAATTTTAATTTCTTGAAGAATGAATCTTAAAAAAACCTCTTAAAAATGTTGTTATCGTGGGAACTAAAGGGAAATGATAGCTCTTAAGCTATGTGAGGACAAGTGCATGGAGTATTGCATACGTGGCATACATGTAGGGCCTCTGAGTGGCAAACAACACCCCCACCCAGGCATGTGAGCAACAAACCGCTTACCCCATAGGCATAGCCCGAGGTGTGAGGCCGCGTGTTGCAGTCCCTCTGCTTGCTCCATGGCCTGCTCCTCAATTGGTTGCTGCAAGGACAGTTGGCCAGAAATTGTATTGGTGACTGCCTGTAATCTGCTGAACTGCTGCTTGAGTACATATACATTGGTAACTGCGCAATAAAATCAGACCTGCTTCCTGCTTGGTCTTCGAGGTCTTGATTCACAACTCCACAGCCACACTCTCCTCTACCCTGTTCTGTGGACCTCCTCACTGGACCAGAGAGAGCCCATGCAGAGCTACACTTGTTTTTGGTGCAGTTGGTCATTTTTATGTATTCTTTTTAGTTGACCATAGGCAAAGGATTTAAGAAGATATAAAAATAATACCAAAACATAGAAACTAACATGTAACTTTTACTGAATTAGAAAAAAGAAAATAATACAAATTAAGAATAATTTTCTGAATGGGGATAATGCTCATAATATAAAATAAGAGGCTCTGTTTGACCATTTGAATATGAAAGTATCCCTTCTCCTTAAGATTTCTATTATTTTCTTAAATGAAAATAAGTAGATTAGATGATTTCTTGAGCTTAATGTGTCAGGCATGGTTCAGCATATTCAGATATTGAGCAGAAAATTCTTATTTTTGAGATCAAGCGTTAAAATCAAACATATTCCTCTGCTCACTGGACTGATTTTTTTATTCTGGAATTTGTGCATTCATATTTTTAAAAAGATTTACTAGGTGATACTAATATACAGCTAGGATGAGAATATTTGATGACTCTTTTGTTACTAGTTTAGTATACATTAAATGTTTCAAGAAAAATAATCAGCCAATATGAAATCTGAAATCAACTTGCAGGATTTAAAAAGTATACCTATGGAAGTGCATTGGACAAGTATTTTAGATCAGCTTTTAGGGCTTTCTAGTACAGGGCAAATGATTTTCCTTTAAATCTTTTCAATAACTTTTCACATTAGCATCCGGTAGGTCTACTTTTAGATACAGAACAAATTGTTTTTGGAATCACCAGTTCTTGAAGTGTGAAATGAAGCCACCTCTCAGAAAAATTCAGTTTGATTTGGCATGTCTCTTTCAGCATGATTCACAAGTGGATCCCAACCCTCTAATCTTCCCTAGATCTTTCAGTGCTGAGAATGACGCCTAAGAGAATTTAGCAGAGTCATGTATAATGTATGACTAACTGTATCACAGTAGATATTATGAGCTTTCTGGAGCTGTAAAAATATGAAGCCCGCCATAGTACATCTTTTGCAGATCAAGAAGAAAGTAGAAAAACAATTTATTTTGTCTAGACATCATTATGTGTTATACATGTGACTTAGAAGCCTGTGTGTGTGTGTGTGTGTGTATGTGTGTGTACACAAATACCCACCACCTATCAATGATGTCAACAAAAGAGAGTTTAGGGGGATTAGCTAGATTGCTGTGCCTACCAAGCTGCAGAAGTATAGTGAAAGTGAACGGCTAGACATTTCTCTGTTCCTTTTCCTTTATTTTTTCCCATTTATCACATTTTTATGTGTTAGTGAAGAAGTGTTTTTAGACTTTCTCATTGAAAGTTTTCAGTTTGTCTCTTAGGGGTGAAGTCTTAGTTTATTTTTTTTTAAGAGCTCTATGGAGATATAATTTGCAAACTGCATACTTTGCCTACTTGAAGGATATGGTTTCCTGGGTTGGGTGCATAGATGGGTGCAGTACCTCTACCTGTAATGAAGGACACAGAAGTTTTATACCAGGCTAAAGAAATCAAGGAGCTTCAACTTTTTGCCACGATCACTTTTAGAAGATTTACATTACCTGTGAAAGACATTCTGCACCCCCTATCCATCACTCCTCAACCCACCTTCCCAAGCCTGAGCAACACTAATCTAGTCTCTAGACATTTCCTATAAAAGGCATCATACAAATGCGGTCTTTTATGTCTGGCTTATTTCACTTGCATAATGTTTTCAAGGTTCCTCTACCTTGTAGGATCTATCACTGCTTTATTTTATGGCTGAATAATATTCTGTTGTATGGATATAATGCACTTATTTATTAATTTATAAGTTGATGGGTATTTTTATGATTTTTTTAAGTAGAAAGAAACTTAAAAAGTTGAAGTTCCTTGATTTCTTTAGTCTGGCCTAAAACTTCTGTGTCCTTCATTACAGGTAGAGGCATCTCACCCAACTATGAAGACCAGCATCCTGCTTTTGTGCTTTTGGGGGTTATCCTGTGCTCTCCCAGTAAGTGTCAGGATGGGGCATATGTACATATATGCCTTTAAATCTAAAATTCCACTATTTTCATTGGCCATGAGCCCAAGTAACTGAGTATATTCCAGTCAGATGATAATAGTAATTTCTTAGAAAACTTTGTAATATCCAAGAAATTTCTTATTCTGTTTAGTTAATCCAATAGATACTAATTACCAATAACTAATTTCCCACAATGAGCAGTGGTTCTTAAATTGTCACCCATACCTAAAAGGTCAGGATCTATTAGCACTTAATTTGTCTATTAGCAAATTTTGAGGTCCTACTTTTTACCTACTAATTTAGACATAATAGGAATGGGACTCAGCCATCTGTCTTTTAACAAGACACCTAGGTGATCTGATGCAGGGTAAAATTTGACTACCACTGCTCCTAAGTATATAGAGTGTTAACTGCTGCCTTTGAAGTTTCTCACTGTTTATTTTTTTGGTGCAGGGGATTGAACCCAGGGTCTTATACAAAGTAGGCAAGTGTTTGGCTATTGAGTGATACTCTCGGCCCTCTTGGAAGTTTCTCTATGGTTTAACCATTAATCTTATTTTTTTCTAGGTAGCCAGATATCAAAATACTGAAACTGAGAGCTCTGAAGAATGGAAGGTGAGTATAGATATTAGTTTTTAAAATATTTCAATTTAAATATATGATTAGAATGACCCGATGAGTTCATTGCAGATGCTGAAATTGCTAGTGTATTATGACCCTTTTAATAACCTAAGATATAGGCAGTAAGATATGCAATTTTTAGTTCATATGAGAAAATAATACTTCAATTCCAACTTAATAGTGTAATTTGGTGAGGAACATCTTTTTCTTTTAGTTTTTATCTTATAGTAGATGTGTGGAGTAGTGCAAGGGGGTGAATAAACAGTGAAACAAGATAGTCCGTGAGAGATTAGGATTTGAAATCTGTTTAAATAGGAGATGTCTAGTAGACAGGAAGTCAAGTCCAGTGAGGTAAGAAAGGAAGAAAGAATGAGAGGACACTAGAGTGTTTGGAATGAAGGTGATGCTTACTGATGTTGAACTCTTCATAACCCAGTAATTGGTAACACAAAAATCATTGCCAGGCATGTTTCTGAGGATTTTATATGTTTTGAACTTCTTACCTTTCCAACAAGCCAATGGATTAGACATCATATTTTATTTCCATTTTACAGATGAGACAACTGAGGCACAGAGAGTAATATAGTCAGTCTATGTTATGTGGCTAATAAGTATCAGAGCCATACTGAATTTATGTCACTTGGCTCCAGAATCAATTCTTAACCAGGGTGACATGTCGCTTTTAGGAAGTGGGTCAGATAGACCTAGGATATCTCTAAATTCTCAAGACTGACACTGGAACTAAGAGTTAAAATCTTATGCTAACACAGAGCATTTTATTCACGACTTTGTTTCTTACTGTCTTTTGCTTATGATACAACTTGGGCCAGTGCTTTTGGTGATGGCCAAATAACGTCAGAGTCCTGATGTGGGGTCCTGCCCCTGCCTTGGGCTAGTATAGACATTGCAGGGTATATTATGAACTTCCATGGGAGAAGTCAATAGGCTAGTTAATTTATAAGCATTTATCATTTAACCAGAGACTCACAAGCATGCCTAATTCTCAAGTCTAGCCTTGGCATGAGAAAAATATCCATGTCTTGTTTTCTTCCACCCATTAATTCTAAATGATAACTGACTGGCGTGGAGTTCGCCATTGTGCCAGCCTGCAGTATCACATAGAAAAGGCAAATGATTACAGCTTCTTTCTCTGAGACATCCCCAGCCTGGCACTGCTGAGAGGCATGTTGAAGACACACAATAGCAACACCCCCTTGCTCTACTTGGTGCCTTGGGTTGCCACTCAGAACCTTGTCCGGCTCAAGGGAAAGGAGAAAGGGGAAAGGGGGTATGGGGGGCTGGGAGTGGGACAGAAGTTGCTCAGGCATTCTTTTTTAATATTTATTTTTTAGTTTTAGGTGAACACAATATCTTTACTTTACATTTATGTGGTGCTGAGGATGGAACCCAGTGCCTTATGCATGCTAGGGGAGCACTCTACCACTGAGCCACAACCCCAGCCCTCAGACATTCTTTTTTAATGTTATTTTTTTGTTAGAGCTTTATAGTTATACACTAGAATTGTGTTCATCCTGACAAACTCATTCATGTATGGAATTTGACTGATTCACCCTTTTCTCTCCTGTCCTTCCCCTCTCTCATTCTCCTCCTCCTCTCTATTAGATTTCCTTTCATTCATCTATTTTTTTTGTATTTTGGATATTTTTACTTGTGCATAAAGGTGAAATTCCCTGTGATATGTTTATATAAACACATAATATGATTTTTAAGAATTCATTCTTCATTGCTTCCCTTACCCATCCCTTCTCTCTGCCTCTTGGTCTCCTTCTACTCTGCTGATCTTTCCCTTTATCTTTGTGTTATACTATTGCTCAGACATTCTTATAGTTCTCACAAGACTAAGGAAAGTGAAATAAATTGCAACTATGAATACATATTTGGCATTCAATTTTAATATCAGTGCTCTTCAGTGACTCAAGAAAGATATAATGGTTTTATCAGTTCAATTTTGTGTATTGAATTTGATAAGGTGGATGTTCTCAAAATGTATTATTTCTTTACATTACATTGACTAGTCCTCAAGATGCTTCTGAAGGCATTAGCCAATCCCATCCTCACACTGGCCTTATAGGTGAAGCACAGATGGTGTTAATTTTCTTAATTTATGAATAAGAAACTGATAGGTATATTGAATTGCCCACCTTCACACGGAGTAACAGACCACTCCAGCTTATGTGGGTCTTACGGGTCTCCTAGAATATATGACTTTCAGTGCTAACACCAGGATGATTGGCTGGAGAATAGAAACTCAAACCAATGAGTTCACTGAGACTAAAAATTTGGATTCTGGGCTACAACATTATTATCCTAGTTTTATTACCTCTAAGTTGTATGAACTTCAAAGCAAGTATACATATATATGTATATCTATCTATATCTATCTATATATATATAATATACATGTGTATTATTTATACACACACATATACATATATGCATACATACCCTTCTATATATTTGTAAGCAAAGTATCAGATATACAAAAAATATTCTAGGTTTTTTAGTACTTTTCATTTTACCTTTATTTTCCCATAAAACTTCATTATTACTTATGTAAGTTGCAAAATATGTACCAGAAAACGTAAAAAATCACCTAAAATTATTCCAAATATTTGCAGTGATGTAATACACTTATGAAAGAGTAATTTGTATTCCTTTCTTTTTTTTCCCCCAGGGTCATTTGGCTCAGTCACCAACACCACCCACGGTAACTCTTTATTTTTGTCATAAACATGTCATGAAGTAACTTTAACACTCTTTTCATTGCCTTTTACCATTTTGAAAGTAGTAAATACAAACTTGAAGCAATTGATGTGGATCATATTTTTTCCTTTCCTGAGGAATTACTAAAAGGAAAATAAATGTTTATTTTCCCTTTCAGGAGAACAGTGAGTCATCAGAAGAAAGTAAAGTTAGCTCAGAGGAACAGGTAATTAAGAAGGCCTTGCTTAACTTTTCTAGCTACTTAGGAATTGAAGGAAATGATGGTAGATTAAGTTACCTGGCAACAGTTCTAAATATAATATTTCCTAACCATTGGGCTATGCTGGCTAAATAGTCCCATAAAATAAGAAGGGAAAAATGAGTGGGGAGAATTCAGGTGTGGACATGCTGTTCATTCCATTTTTACCATCTGAGACATTGTGGCCCTAAATGTCCCTCCTAGTTAAAAAAATAACCACGTACCTGTGAGCACATGCCAATGGTTATTACGTCTGCTAGACAGCACGGGCTCACTCAGTAATCTGAAATATTGCAAAAATAGAGCAGTTCAGGAAAGGAAAGGAAAACTATTCTGGCTAAAATGAGGTGCCCACTGGCCTGGAGCACTCTGTCATGTCAAGAGCACAGTTGAGGAGAGCAGGGGGGAGTAGAGGAAAGCTGTGGGGCAGGAGCTTGAAAAGAGCTGTTTTGGCAGTGACTTTGATAGTCTCATCTTTGGTCCTGGGGATAAGAAAAGCAGTCTTAGCTTATATGTCTTTATTAAGAAATCTACTTCTTAAATTTTATTTTTTTCTGAGACTAAATGTTATTACTTTTTAAGCTGTTCTATCTTTTTACTTATTCATATATTTATTTTTGTATTGCTAGGGGTTTAGCCCAGGGCTGCACATATGCTAGGCAAGTGCTCAGCCACTGAGCTACACCCCCAACCCTGTCCTATCACCATGACCAAACTCAACCCTGTAGGGAGGTCCAGAGATTCCAGCAATGTTTTTTCTCTGTGAAACTTTTCACCCACGTTGCATTCTACACTCAGCCAGTGTTAAAAGATGAATTATCAGACTGTTTAACCCTAATTACTAATGGCTTGTCAGAAGAACATTCTAGAAGTTAAAAGCATAGAGTTGGGGAAATGCTTTTCCCTGAAGATTTTGTGATTTATCACCTTAAAATTCTCAAGCAAGAGTGACAACTCCTGCTTGAGAAGGGCATGATGATGCTTAAGGAGGTAGGGTGGGCTCAACCCGCACATTTCCACCATACCAGTGCAGAATTCTTGTGCTGGGAAGAGACGGTAACATCATGTACTCCAGATGGGAACCCAGACACTGATCAGTGGGAACATGTGGTGAAAGAAAGAAAGGAAGGAAGGAAGGAAAACAATTTTGGCAAGTATGCTTTGTTGTAATGAGAGCCAGATTTTTCCAGGGCATAATGTATGAAGACCCACTGTGCTCTCTTATTTGTGCAGAGCATGTAGTTGCTTTTTTAAATGTGACAATCTCTCTGACCTCACACTTAGAATCCAGCTGCCTTGAGAGCCACACTAGTTAGTTTTGCCTTCTGAGACTTCATAAGCAACTCTCTCTCTGTGCTCATGAAATAGGAACATGACTTGGGTGAGACATTTATACATCTCACTATGATATTTTATTTTTATTTGTACTTAAAGTTTCATCAGAAAGTAAATGGGTCATTTTAAGTTAACTGAATATTTTTAAAAATTCCACTTGAAACTACACAATTTGATGGGTATTATAAACTAACTCCTTGATGTACAAAAAGATTTCTGAGGGGCCTAAAGTGCAGCTGCAGAGCACTTGCCTAGCACAAACAAGACCCTGGGTTTGATTCTCAGCACTGCAAAAAAGAAAAAAAAAATATCTGAGTTTTATTTAAGAAATCATATTTACAATATGATTTAAGTTCCATAAATGTGATTTCCAGAAAGATTTTTGAGAAAAAACTTTGCAGCATTGAGTAGGGGCCACCTGTACAAAATGGGAGAACTTGAGTTTCAATTCCTTTTCCTTCTTATTTGAGCTCTGTCGAGATGTTTAAATTGATCGTAGGTTAGAAGAGAAGGAAGGAAGCAGAAAAAGCCCAGATAAACACTAGATAACTCCCTCCTTATCAGGTCCTGGAGTGACCCTGTTTGTTAACTCCAAATCCAGGCAAATGTGGACCCCAGTGACAGTGCTGAGCTGGAGGATGACCTGGGCTCTGATGATCGTCAGTATGTTTATAGACCAGCTGGTGGCCTCTCTAGAAGTACAGGAAAAGAAGAGGATAAAGATGATGATGAAGATGATAGTGGAGATGACACCTTTGCTGATGAGGACAATGGCCTGTGGCCTGAGGAGAGAACAGGAGGTGGAATCTCCAGAGCTGATGGTGATGATTCTGCTGATGCCACACGATCCAGTGAAGATAGCACCTCACCAGAAGACAGTGCCCAGGACACCACCAGTGACAGCAGGGACCTTGACCACGAAGATGATGTAGGCAGCAGGGCTGAGGGACGTGACTTTACTCAGGAGAGTGAGAGTGAGGAGGACTGGGTGGGAGGTGGCAGTGAGGGGGAGAGTAGCCATGGGGATGGCTCTGAGTTTGACGATGAAGGAATGCAGAGTGATGACCCTGACAGCACTAGGAGAGATAGGGGCAACTCCAGATTGAGCAGTGCTGGTGTCAAATCAAAAGAATCAAAAAGGGACAATGAGCAGGTAAGCGTTCAGGATTCTGGTGAGAGTCAATTAGTGGAGTATTCCAGTAGGAAGTTTTTCAGAAAGTCCCGGATTTCTGAAGAAGATGGCGGAGGTGAGCTCAATGGTGGCTACACAATGGAAGAAGTCAAGAGTGACTCCAACTCTAAAGAAGCTGACCTCGGCCAATCCAGGGAAGATAGCAAGAGTGAGTCTCAAGAGGACAGCAAGGAGAGTCGGTCTCAGGAAGACAGTGAAAATGCACAGGACCCCAGCAGTGAGTCCAGCCAGGAGGTTGACTTGGCCTCTCAAGAAAGCAGTAGTGAGTCTGAGGAAGAGGTGGTGAGTGAGTCCAGGGGCGACAACCCAGATAATGTCAGTCGTGCAGGCGACCAGAAAGACAGTGACTCCAGCCAGGAGGACAGCCTGAATACCTTCTCCAGTTCAGAGAGCGAATCCAGAGAGGAGCAAGCTGACAGCGAGTCCAATGAGAGCCTGAAACTCTCAGAGGAAAGCCCAGAGTCCACCGAGGATGAGAACAGTTCCAGCCAGGAGGGCCTCCAGTCTCAGAGCACCTCAGCAGAGAGCCAGAGTGATGAGAGCCGGTCCGAGCAGGACAGCCAGTCTGAGGAGGCGCCTGACAGTGATTCTCAGGACAGCAGCAGATCAAAAGAAGACAGCAACTCCACTGAGAGCACCTCAAGCAGTGAGGAGGATGGCCAGCCCAAAAACATGGAGGTGGACAGCAGAAAGTTAACAGTTGATGCTTATCACAACAAACCCATCGGGGACCAAGATGACAATGACTGCCAAGATGGCTACTAGCATCCACTTTCCTAAGAAGTGGCTCTCACAGAAAGGACTTGAGGGGGCTTTAGACTAGGGAAGCCATTACAGCTGTAATTTATTGATATTTTGATCAGAAAGATAACCAGAGGCCATTTCTTTCTGAAAGGAATTGTTGGACATTACACTGGTTTCTAGGGTGTCACCATTCCATAGAAATTTAAATAAGTGGAATGATAGCAAAGTACACTCAATGAGATCAGAAGTAAGGAAAGATGTGCCTTATAACTCACAGTGAAATAATTCCCAACTCATTAACCAGACAGACAGTTATGGAGGTCCTGTTATGGCCCAGGCATTGTGCTAGGTGCTGGGGGTTGTAAGGAAGCTTCAGATTTGTTTCTTGCTCCTGAGGAGCTTATAGAGAGACACATAAAACTCAAGAGTTAGTGGGATAAAATATGGTTAGAAGAGGATAACAAGAATTGGAACAATGTACCTGGTAAATGTCCTAGCAGAGGTAGAAATAAGATTTATGGAGTGCAGAAGGGGAGACTAAGTTTGCCTCAGAAAATTAATGAGCTTTTCAGTGGAAAAGCCAGTGGAGTTGGAGGGTTGCATAGCATTTCTCTATTGAGGACAAAAGAATTCTATTTTGGGGTTAAACACTAATTCTTAAGCAATTAAATATTTACTTTGTGAAAGCACTTTGAAATGATGGCACAGTGGGGTGTTTTGGGAAACAGAACACTTTTTTTTTTCTGACTAAGGTTTCCTATGCAATGATTTTGTGGGGCTTCCATGACTGCCTTCAGGGTGATGGTGTGGAGGATTGGGCAGGAGAAAATGGGGAACGAAATCCATCTTTACATAGAGAATTTTAGCTTTATTTTTTCCCCTAAAATCAGTTTATGTGCAATGCTAAAAAAATTGTCTTCTGAGTTCTTTAAATGTGTTGTAAAATTCTGTGTATAGGATGCAATTGATTTTTTTTGTCAAATACCATTTGAAATGTTACCTCAACATAAAATATTTGTTTTATAATAAAGTTAATAATAACCAAAAGAAATATATGCATTTTTTGTTATAGTAGTGTCTGTTATCAGGATGTATTTATGGTAAAGAACTGTTTCTTTAAAACATAACATTGCAGAATAGTTTATCAGTTTTCTCTCTTAAAATGAAAGATTTTCTTAAATTCTTTGAAATGTTTTTTTGTAGCATTTTGATAAAATTACATGTTGCTTGTGATATTTCCATTAAATGTAGATGTTGTGTGGAAAAAAAATGAAGCAAGCTTTTGATTTTGTTGGAATCCGCACCAACAGCTCCTGATGTTTCACATTAGTTCTAGTTAGTCTCAGACTCTCATTTGTGTACACTCTGGAAGCTACAGGGAAACATATTTCTTATATTTTAATTCCTATGAAGGAAATGATTTACCTCATCCCTTCATTTCCAATGTGTCTTTACCCAAACACCAATGTGTGTGTGCTTCCACTGGAGCACCCCAGAATTCTCCTGCATGTCTGTTAAGGAAATCAACGACTTTCCACCTTCCTTCTGACCCTTCTATTCTTTTACACGGCTCCCTCACAAAGTCAAAGCTTCATTCCCTTGAGGAGATTTAAAAAATAAAAATGTGTGTATATATGTATATGTGTGTGTGTGTGTGTGTGTGTGTGTGTATCCTCCCCTTTTGAGATTTTAATTTAGTAGATATGAAGTGAGACCCAGAGTTCTGTATTTTTAAAAGGCTCCCAGGAGATTATGATGGAGCCTACCCAAGTACCTTACATTTGGGTTCAATGGCTCTTTATGTTAATTATCTAGCTTCATTAAACTACAGGTTCCTGCTGACCCACAACTCTTTCTGAGGAGAACTGCCACATGCTTGGATCCTGGAGGCATAGTTGACTAGGCCTTCTAACCATTCAAATGCCCCATGTCACCATAGCTAACTGGATGGGATAAGCACCTGACCCCAGGGAAACTGGTTAAGTGTGATACCCAGCCTCCAAGGAGGATGTTGCTTCAACATGAATGATGATTGTTTGGGGTCTAATCTAACTTTTACTCTCTGTAGATTTGAATATTTAGGGACAGAGAGGTCAGAAAGTGGTCAGAAAAAAAAAGAAAGAAATACACAAAAAGGCAGATATAGATACCAGGCTATATCTTATTCATGTGAAGAACAAAATGAAAATTATTGAACTCCTGATGCTGAGGGGCAAACTGATAATCTTCTTACTTGTATGGTTGGATTATGACTCTCGTATTGCCTCCAGGCCTTCCCAGATTTCTATGATGTTCCTTTTCCTGGAGTGCCACCTGTGTCCTCTTAATATGCCCAGCTGTCTTGAGGCAACCTGAGTGAATCTTTGTTCTTTGCAACCAAAATGCCTAATGATCCCAGACTCATTAACTCATTCATTAAGTTAGCCAGGGTTCCTAGGTATGGTCCTGTAACTCCTTAACTAAGTCAACTCGCAGGACTTTTAAAAGGAAGAATAATAATGGGAGAGAATAAGAATGAAAGCCTATATGGTGAGCATAAATGAGAACAGAAGAAGTTCATGCATTATGTAATAGTATTGGACTTAAAAAAGTTGATGAGGCTCCATGAGAACTCCTACAGATGGAACTGGAAAACTGAAAGTCCTACTCCCTCTCCCCGAAGGTGCTCTCAAGTGCCACGATCAGCCAACTCTTACTCCAGTAGCATTATTTTCTAAATGTATTAGGGCTAATCTGCTCTTCTTTAAATGGCTCATTCTTTCTTTAAATAGGCATATAGTTAAGTTGGTTTCCATGAAATCCTGCTGGCCTGTGCGCCAGTTTGCTTTCTCCAGATGATTTTACATATCTATGTATATCTTAAAATTTGGTTTCAAGATGACAATATTAATTAATTTATTCCTCTTGATTCTCCAGTGAGATAGTAAAGTAAGCTCTTACTCTTATTTATTCAACCATTTCTGGAGCATGTCTTATGAGCCAGGAACTGGGCAAATACAGGGATGATGAGATATTATCTCTTCTCTTAAGAAAGTCATCATCTATAACAGAGACAAAAATGTACAAACTATGAAAGTTACGTGTGTTGATATACCCCTACTTAATGTTCTATAGGTTCTGCAAGAAAAAAAAGTAGTTAACTTTTTTTATGGAGTAGGAGAGGTGTTGGGATGACTGAGGTAGATCTCAGGGACTGAATAAGAAAACAGGGAGAAAAATTTTCTAAGCAGAGAGTACACAGAAGTGAGTGTACAGAATCATTTTTGGCATTATGATAAAAAATAAGAATTCACTGAAGCTTTGGGAGAATATTATAAGAGAAGCAATTACAAAGGTGCGTTGGGATCCAGTAGGAAGGCCTGTGAATTCCAGAAGAAGAAAAATAACCTTCATTTTTGTTTAGTGCTTTGCTGGTGCCAGGTTTTCAAAAGTAATATATCATACAAAGCACAAAGTGTTTTTGAGATAAATTTATAAACTCTCTACACTTTAAAAAAAATTTGTAAAAAATAAAGACAGGCAAATGAAACAGAAAAGTTCCATTAATGATCCTAGTTCAAAGTATAAGAAATGGCAGCCTAAGTTTCCTTTCCGTTTGATGATAACCACTTAATATTTTAAGCACTGTAATTAACATTCATGAATAGGGCCTCATCTACTTCAAATATAGCTAAGGGAAATGGTATATTATCTGCTTGCTCTCAACACCTAAAAACCCCAAGAACCTCTTAGTCACTTTCTTTTTTTTTTTTTTTTAAATTTTTTATTGTTGGCTGTTCAAAACATTACATAGTTCTTGATATATCATATTTCACAATTTGATTCAAGTGGGTTATGAGCTCCCATTTTTACCCCATATACAGATTGCAGAATCACATCAGTTACACATCCATTGATTTACATATTGCCATACTAGTGTCTGTTGTATTCTGCTGCCTTTCCTATCCTCTACTATCCCCCCTCCCCTCCCCTCCCCTCCCCTCTTCTCTCTCTGCCCCCTCTACTGACATTCGTTTGTCCCCCTTGTATTATTTTTCCCCTTCCCCTCACTTCCTCTTGTATGTACTTTTGTATAACTCTGAGGGTCTCCTTCCATTTCCATACATTTTCCCTTCTCTCTCCCTTTCCCTCCCACCTCTCATCCCTGTTTAATGTTAATCTTCTTCTCCTGCTCTTCGTCCCTACTCTGATCTTAGTTACTCTCCTTATATCAAAGAAGACATTTGGCATTTGTTTTTTAGGGATTGGCTAGCTTCACTTAGCATAATCTGCTCTAATGCCATCCATTTCCCTGCAAATTCTATGATTTTGTCATTTTTTAATGCAGAGTAATATTCCATTGTGTATAAATGCCACATTTTTTTTATCCATTCGTCTATTGAAGGGTATCTAGGTTGGTTGCACAGCCTTGCTATTGTGAATTGTGCTGCTGTGAACATCGATGTAGCAGTGTCCCTGTAGCATGCTCTTTTTAGGTCTTTAGGGAATAGACCAAGAAGGGGAATAGCTGGGTCAAATGGTGGCTCCATTCCCAGCTTTCCAAGAAATCTCCATACTGCTTTCCAAATTGGCTGCACCAATCTGCAGTCCCACCAGCAATGTACAAGTGTACCCTTTTCCCCACATCCTCGCCAGCACTTGTTGTTGTTTGACTTCATAATGGCTGCCAATCTAACTGGAGTGAGATGGTATCTTAGGGTGGTTTTGATTTGCATTTCTCTGACTGCTAGAGATGGTGAGCATTTTTTCATGTACTTGTTGATTGACTGTATGTCCTCCTCTGAGAAGTGTCTGTTCAGGTCCTTGGCCCATTTGTTGATTGGGTTGTTTGTTTTCTTATTGTCTAATTTTTTGAGTTCTTTGTATACTCTGGATATTAGGGCTCTATCTGAAGTGTGAGGAGTAAAGATTTGTTCCCAGGATGTAGGCTCTCTATTTACCTCTCTTATTGTATCTTTTGCTGAGAAAAAACTTTTTAGTTTGAGTAAGTCCCATTTGTTGATTCTAGTTATTAACTTTTG